TCGGGGTCCTCTTGATCTCACGACCTCACCTGATCTCTCTCGCGACCATGGCGTAACGGTTGATTTTGTTGGTTTTCTTGTTTCTATTCATGCATAGGTCCACGATAATTTGCAGGTTTCCTCCGCCAAATACAAGATGGCAGCAGAAGTCACCGTAGGAATGCCCAATATTCTGTTGGTGATTTTGTTTGGAATGTCTTGACGAAAGACAGGTTTCCTTCGCGCGAATACAATAAACTAAAGTCTCGCAAACTTGGACCACTAGAGATCGTTGAGAAGATGAATGCTAATGCTTATCAAGTACAACTTTCACCAGGTGGTCGTACTTCCGATGTATTCAACGTAAAGCACTTGGTTCCATATATGGCATAGGATGATGATGAAGATTCGAGGATGAATCTTTCTCTATCTTGGGCAACCTAATGCAGCGTGCTTTTTACTTCGTTTTAAATTTCTATTTTCTGTTTTCCTTTTTTTAGATAAACAAATGTTTTATTAGTTTTCCTATTATTTTCTTGTTAGGTGTGGCTATATAGCCAAATACTTTGTCTTTTAAGGACAAACCTAATAATATTTAGAGTTTAAAATTTCTTTTTTTTTTGCAATCGGCTAGAACTAGGATTCTCAACGATTTTAAGAAAAGAACACATCTTAAAAATTCTTAGACTAAATAAGAAGTTTGCACTATCGTAGCTATATATACATCATAAAATAACTGGTTTAACATATAGTTTACATGAACAACTGATTTATATATATATATATGATAAATAACTGATTTAACATGTATTTTCATAATATGTTAACTTGTTTAACATCTTAACTACATAATAACTACGTAAAAGTGTATTATTTAACATTTAATGAACAGTATTTCAGGTTTTGAACAATATTATCAGCGAATAATAAACAGTATTATCAAAAATGTATGACGCCAACTGAATTTTCATATTTGATATTTTAAGTAATTATATAAAATGAATAAGAATGTTTATAAATTAAATTTTGTTTCTTTTTCTTACTCACTTAATTATAAACAATAATATTATGGTCATGAATTTTAGTTAACTTACCCAAAAAGGATTTCCAAATGTTATTTAAAAAACATGTATTATTTTTAAGTAGAATCATTTTTATATTACTATAATTTACACACAAATTATCATATCCAAAAATATCTAATAATTATAGGCCTTATTTACCATACTTTTGTGGATACGAGATGCTAAATTCTTTTCAATATACATGTTAGTTTCTTTGTTTGTAAAACGACAACTTTCATTCCATAATATTATTTATCATCTTATCGAACCAAAAAAAACAAATGCTTCTGATGATTGAGAAAATTTGCGAGAAAGTTCTAGTTTCACCAAATCCACTCTAGGTAAACGTCATCATATGACTAAGATCAATTATAATGGTGACACTAAGAGGTCTAATGAAGAATGTCTAATATTATAACTGAATAAAAATATTATAAAGAATATTTAATATATAAGACCAGTGTCTAATATAGAATCTCTTTTTTGGTTTAAGAACGAATATGTGTTAACATGTAAGTGAACGAAAAAAATTAACACACAAAATCTTTTTTTTTGTCTCTCTCTAATTGCAATAAGACAAAAATAGTTAGATTAATAATTAAATCTTTGTGGCAGTTAAACACGACGAAAATAGAACCCGTGACAGCAACAGAGACACGCAGCAACCGGTGTTGAAAAAACTAAAGAATTTGAAACAACTTTAATTTATTGTCTGCACTAAAAAACTTTTATTGAAAATGTAAAAATAAAAAATAAAAACTAAAAAAGTAAGTAGTCACACGCATTATCAATACAATAAAAAGACAAATGTCTCTCTTGGTCAAGACACCTCAGCATTTTAGAGTTTTTTTAGGATGACACTTTAGCAAATCAATTCACCAATGAAAATATTTCATTAATACAATTCATTAAAAAAAAACCATCCAAAATCAACAGATAGCCTTAGATAGCCCATATATTAATGCTGTTTTCAAAACACATTAAATAGCCCAACCCAATTTTGATGTTATTCGCCAACCCAATTTCGATGAGGAAAAGACGGAAAATGAGAGAGAAGAGGAGAAAGATAGGAAGTTTGTGGTTCACATTTTGCAGAAATACAATTTGATTATTTTGGCGGAACAATTGAATTTTTTAGTTTTGTTAGAAAAACATGATTTCTTGGTTCGACGAGAAAACAAATTTTCTTGGTTTTAGCGGAAATAAGGAATTTCTCAGTTTTGACGGAAATATGGGATTTCTTGGTTACGGTAGGAAAATATGATTTTTAGTTTTGGTAGGAAAACACAAATTCTTGGTTGTGGCTAAAAAAACGAATTCTCGGATTTAGCAAAAAAATGTGAATTTTCGGTTTTGGTGAGAAAACAATTTTTTTTTACTAGAAAACAGAATATCGGTTTTGATGGAAAATGCAGCTTTTCAATTTTGATGAGAAAATGCGATTTCTCGGTTTTGATAAGAAATGCAAATTTTTGGCTTTTGATGGATAATGCGATTTCTTGGTTTTAGTGAGAAAAAATGTGATTTTTTAGTTTTTGCGGAAAATTGTATTTTGACGATTTTGGTGGAAAATGTAATTTTTCGATTTGATGGGAAAACAAAATTTCTTGGTTTTGGCGGAATATGTAATTTCTCGATTTTGATGGGAAATGCAAATTTTCAGTTTTTGACGAATAATGCGATTTTTTGGTATTCGCGGGAAACTGCTATTTCTTAGTTTTTGCGGGAAAACGCAATTTCTTGAGAAATAATGCAATTTTAGTTTTCGCGGAAAATTGTAGTGTATTGGTTTTGGTAGGAAAGTGTGATACTTGGTTTGACAAGAAAATGAATTTTTTTGCGGGAATAGGTAATTTTTCGGTTTTCGCGGGAAAATGATTTTTGGGTTTTGCAGGAAGATGAAATTTTTTTTAATGTAAATTTTTGACTTTTGACGGATAATGCAATTTTTTTGGTTTTCGCAGGAAGATGTGATTTCTTAGTTTTCAAGGGAAATTGTAATATGAAGATTTTGGTGGAAAATGCAAATTCTCAATTTGATGGGAACACAAAATTTTTCGGTTTTGGCGGAAATAATCAATTTTTCGGTTTTGATGAGAATGCAATTATTCAGTTTTTGATGAAAAATGCGATTTTTTTGTTTTCGCGGGAAACAACCATTTCTTAGTTTTCGCGGGAAAACACAATTTCTCCATAGATAATGCAATTTTAGTTTTAGCGGGAAATTGTAGTATCAATTTTGGTAGGAAGTGCGATTCTTGGTTTGACAAGAAAATAAATTTTTGATTTTTTGCGGGAATAGATAATTTTTCGGTTTTTGCAGAAAAATAATTTTTTCGGTTTTGACGAAAAAATACGTTTTTGGGTTTTGCAGGAAGATGATTTTTTTTTTTGGTGAAAAACGTGATTTCTTGGTTTTGGTAAGAAAACATAGGTTTTCGCGAAAAATGTGATTTCTTGGTTTTTGCGGGAAAATAAAATTCTTTTGTTTTGGTGGGAAAATAAAATTTTAGGTTTGACGAGAAAATATTTTTCTTTTTGTTTTAGCGGGAATATGCGATTTCTCAATTTTCATGTGAAAATAAAGTTTTTGGTTTTGATGGGAAATGTGATTTCTTGATTTTTATAAGAAAATAAAATTTTTCTGTGCTAAAATGCTAAGTTACAATATGTTTACAATTATCAAAATTTAATTATTTAACTTTAACTAAATCGATATTTCAACAGTTCAAACATAATTTTCTTTTTAGTTCTAAAACAATAGCAATAGTTTTGATATGAATGTTATTAATTATAGTTTGATGATTTTAGAAACATATGTTTATAATAAATAGTTGATAAATAAATAAATTTTGTAATTCAAAACAATCATATTCATTAATAATTTTTTTTAAATGACATTTTGCTTTATATGATTTCAAAGAGGATCAAGTGGTAATTTAAAAGAGAAAATGGATTACATTTGTTATTAGCATGAAAGTACTTAAAAATATATTATTTTTATTTTTATATATATATTTATAGTTAGTTAGCTAAACAAATTTGATAGAAAACTATAATTTTGAAAAAGTAAATTAAGGATTATATAATATTTATTCTGATTTAAAACATATAAATACATAATTTAAGCTAATAACAAAATAAATATAATATTAATTTCTATTATAAAAATAATTTTATTATATTAAAAATATATATACAAAATTTAAAAAAATATTCCATAGTCTAGTTTCCGTAAATAGTTTCCACCAAAGCCACAGTTTTTTCACCGTCTTTGCTTTTCAGTAAAGCTAATGCTTACGACTCTATCAAACCTCACACTTTTTCTTCTTCTTCTTCTGCTGCTGCTCCAAACCAATCTTCTTCGTCTTCTCTATTCGCGACAAGACAACCTTCTCCAACTCAGATTTCAACACAAACATTAGTTTGATCCAACAATCGAACTGGGGTAAAGAGTCTTTAGCCATCGCTGTCTGGTTCTCTTCAAATTCGTTGCCGAAATTTCCGGCATTGTCCTCAGATTATAGGTTTCCCGCAAAGTGTTTTGTATTTCTGATTTCGGATTTAATTTTCCCACAATTTCTATGTTTTTTTCTTTCTGGATTTTGTTACTAATTTGGTATCTGGAGAGTTGTTGTTGGCAACACTTTTTGGTAATTTAGGGTTTTGACTTCCTCGAATTACTTAACCGTTGTGTGGAATCTATTGTTATCTCAAACACTTCCATTAATTTCTTTGTTACTCTTTGCGCTACCTTCAACATTTGAAGGTGATGAGAAAAATTGCCATTATGGTTTTTATTTTAGTTTTTTCGATTTCAGATTTTTTAGATATTTTCGGATAGATCTGTGAGCCACTTGGAGTGGTTAGACAATTAACTGGCATTCTGTCTTTTTAGTTTTTTTAATCTTTGCTTTATCTAATTTTCTTGCATTTTACTGGTGCCATCTTGCAGCATTATCCATTGTGTTTGATATAAAAGACAAAATGACAAGGGTTACACGAGATTTCCGGGATTTACTACAAAAAGATGTTGTCCCAGCAGTATCTGCAGATGTGAAATTCGCTTCAAGTAGATTTCCTAATTATAGAATTGGAGCTAATGACCAGATATTTGATGTGAAAGATGACCCTAAAGTGATGTCAATGAAAGAGGTTGTTGGGCGTGAGACAGCGCAGCTTTTGGACCAGCAAAAGCGTATGTCTGTTCGTGACCTCGCCAATAAATTCGAGAAAGGGTTGGCTGCAGCTGCTAAGCTATCCGAGGAGGTCTGATATGTTATAATCCTATGTTTGATATCTTCTTTTCAAGTTGTTTCTCTGTTATTCGTTTGTTGGAATCAGATAGATTATATGCGTCTCTGCCTTGTTACTAGCTAGTCTATCTTTGGTTACATATGAGTTGGTTTTGCATGTTTATCTAAGCTTTTTTCTATGTATTTCCTATTTAGGATCTTAAAAAGTACTTTTAATCTATGAAAAACCTTTCTTGTTAAGAACCAAAATATGATTTGTTAAAAAGACAGATTATGAAGGCAAGTCTAAGTAGCTTAAGTTAAGATGTGATGCTTGAAAGAATTTTTAATGCTTATTTGGTTGGGAATGTGTGCAGGCAAAACTCAAAGAAGCAACTTCCTTGGAGAAACATGTTCTTCTAAAGAAACTTCGAGATGCATTGGAGTCTCTAAGAGGACGCGTGGCGGGTAGAAACAAGGATGATGTAGAAGAAGCCATTACAATGGTTAGTCTTTTATAGCCATTCCCTCGTTTAAAAGAGTTATATATAGCTTAGGCACGTAGGTTGTGATGTATATAGACGCTAGCGTTTCTGAAAAGCGAAATGTGCTGCGTCTCTTTTGATATTGTTTCTTAAATTGTCTTTCAAACGCTATACCATCATGTTTTCTTCGTTCCTCTGTTACTTAAGTATGTTTTGGAAACTGTGGTCTCTACTAGGTTGAAGCTCTAGCTGTTCAGTTGACTCAGCGAGAAGGAGAGCTGTTCATAGAAAAAGCAGAAGTGAAGAGGCTGGCGTCTTTCTTGAAGCAGGTAAAGCATACTTTTTGAGACGCTAACACATTTTTTGTTTTGAGATGTATAACTTGGGGCGAATAGTTAGGAGATGTATATATCAGCTTCACTTGAAAAACCCAAGTCTTCTGAAATAGCAAATATGGTTTCGTTTGATGCTTAATACCGCGTATTGTTTGTTAGTCCTTGAAGTATAGTGACTGTCCTTTTTGTTTTCATTTGTGTAGTTAATTTTCCACTACTTTTGATAATCAACTATGATGTAGTTTCTTACAGACATTGTTAGTCATTTCCAATTCTCAATCCGTTTCCTAATCTTGCACGAGAAAGAAGTTCTTTAGTCTCTCATCTGTATTATTCCTCAGTTTTCCCTTGTGAATAGCGGTTACCATTTGGTCTAGCCTAAAACTATGCTTAAGGGTTCTTATTTTCTTACTGATTAGTGGTAACATTCTTTAATTAGGCCTCAGAGGATGCGAAGAAACTTGTCGATGAGGAAAGAGCTTTTGCGCGTGCTGAGATTGAAAGTGCAAGAGCAGCTGTACAAAGAGTGGAAGAAGCCCTGCGAGAACATGAACAGATGTCTCGAGCCTCTGGGAAGCAGGTAACCAGTGATATCAAGCTTCTAGCAACATTTATGTACCATTGAAGATATCTCCAGCTTATGCTGTTATCACTTTTGTACATGTAAACCAGCTATTTGCTCCATTGTCTAATCAAGTACATACATATCTCATATCAACTTCTTTTTTTTTATCAGGACATGGAAGATCTAATGAAGGAAGTTCAAGAAGCTAGGCGGATTAAAATGCTGCATCAGCCAAGCAAGGTGGGTAGATGAATGGTGGTTGGGCTGTAAGGATAAAATGGCTTCATTTGTCTGTCTAAGTCAATGCTTCTGTAGTGTCTTATGTTGTTTTTGATATGCCAAGTCATGTGCATTATATTAGGTAATGGACATGGAATATGAGCTGCGAGCACTGAGGAATCAGCTTGCAGAGAAATCTAAACATTTTCTTCAACTACAAAAGAAGGTTACATATACATTCAAAGTCCTTTTGATTGTGATACGGCTGACAAATAGATGGATTCTCTGACACTTCTCTATTATTCAGCTTGCAATGTGCAGAAAGAGCGAAGAAAATATAACCCTCTTATACGAAATTGATGGCACTGAAGCTCTAGGTTCTTGTTTACGGGTCAGACCTTGCTCTGACGATGCCCCTGATCTTTCAAAGTGTACGATGCAATGGTACCGCTCATCTTCCGATGACAGCAAGAGGGAGCTTATTTCAGGTCCCTTTAGCTTTCGCATTTTTTTGTTTGGAGCCAAATCAAGTTGGAGACTGTTCTCATTGACGAAACTTATTTCCTTTTCAATTTGTATCTCAGGTGCCACAAAATCAGTCTACGCTCCAGAGCCTTTTGACGTCGGACGAGCCTTGCATGCTGATATCATTTACGATGGCCATACGCTTTCATTATCCACAGTGGGAAAGATTGATCCAGGTTCATTGTTATGTTATTTCTTGGATAGGGTTCTTGTTTATGTCGCCATGATCAAGTTCTTCGTGTAGGTTGTGTTGCTTGGTAGCTGTTCTAGTTATATTCGTGGTTACCACTACATACATACGGCATACCCTAAGGAAAAAAAAATATTAAAACGATGTCGAATTACCATACGTTTTACTCAATCATGAAAATGTTGACTATAAAACAGTTCAATGAAATTGGTATTGATTCGATGGAAAACAAACTTTAAAAGAAGTTCTGATTTGTTGCAGCTGCTGGATTGGGTAGCTACGTGGAGGCACTAGTACGAAAACACGATGTTGATTTCAATGTAAGCCTTCTCTCACGCTAAGAAATATATCTGGCACAGGTATATGTTTTATAGCAACTTAACAAGTCCTTTGTTGTGATTTACAGGTAGTTGTAACTCAGATGAGTGGGGAAGACCATTCATCAGAATCTATCCACTTGTTTCACGTTGGAAAAATGAGGATAAAACTTTGCAAGGGAAAGACAGTGATTGCAAAAGAGTACTACTCAAGTGCAATGCAGGCAAGTGTTGCTCGTTTCTACTCAATTTCATCGCTTAAAGCGTCGTCTTTGTAGAGACCTTAAAGTCATAATCTTTTGATTCATATATGAGTAGTTATGTGGGGTGAGAGGAGGTGGAAACGCAGCAGCTCAGGCAGTGTATTGGCAGGCGAAGAAAGGAGTGTCCTTTGTGGTGGCTTTTGAGTCCGAGAGAGAAAGAAACGCTGCGATCATGCTTGCACGCAGATTCGCTTGTGATTGCAATGTAAGTGTTTTATCAAAGAAAAGTAAAGTTAGAAACTGTATGCTTTTGTGGAAGAGTTGTTGGATTTTGAGTATGAAATTGATTTTTGTGTTGTAGGTGACCCTTGCCGGACCAGACGACAGAACAGAGACGGGTCTTAACTAAGTATTAGTAAGGGGTTTTTGTTTTGTAGTTTATAGTGTTTATAGGGCATTTGTTTGAGTTGCATTTTCATCTTGTCTGTTGTGTGTAAAAAATGGAAGAAACAGTGAAGATGTTGAATCTATATATGGTGGTTTGTTTTTTTATTCATTTGTTTTATGGCGCATCTTACTTGACACTTAACGAATACATAACGGATTTACTATAAAAGTTGAGATTTTGATAATGTGCTTTTTTTATAATACATTACTTTCTCTATTTAGAATAGGAGACATGTGTTAATAGGACAAAAGAAATGATAAAAATTATTAAGATTCACATTTACGAGAAAACTTATAAAGGGAAATGGCAGAACTATGACAAGGTTAATATGGTTCACATTTGTTATTTCATTAGTGTATCCTAAATCAGCAATAGATATGGAAACAATACAACTCGAGAAGTAGAATATTAATACTTCAAGTAGTAGAAAATATAAAAGTTAACGCTTATATATGCTCATAGTACAGAGAGATTCCAATGTAAAACCAAACACCAAAACTCATATGGTAAACACCAAAAGATAGATCATCACAGCTACATGATCAACAGGACTAGGGTTTGTTTCTTCATGATCATGAGCATGAAAAAAAATTAGTCCGCCAGCAAAGGGAGAAGAGCAACTTCACCGTTCTCTGAGTCAGAGAATTTCTTGAACACTGCTCTTAGCGCATTTTCAGGAGCCGAGTCCCTTGATACAAAATTTTTGAGGTCTTGATTGAATCACTCAAGCTTGTACTAGTCAGTTGTAGTATAGCATAAGATTTTTATCAATCCAAATGGGTTATAGTTGAAAACAAAATAGTTGAGAGTAAAAATCTCTAAGTCAAGCAAACAGAAAAGTTTTTTTGTTGCCTAAGCAACCAACCTAATATCCTAATATGATTAAGCAGCAAAGAGAGTAAAGATAAGAGCAAACTGAACAAAACTAAGCAAGCAAAACAGAGCAAATCCGAGATTTAAACAAGAGAAAAGCAAGTTCCTAGATATGGTTATTGACTTTGGGAAATTTATAAACTAACTAAGGCTGTTTCAAACTACATTAATCAAGCAAATAAACAAGCAATGGTGATTCCTAGACATAGAGTTCACAATCAAGCAAGCTAGATCCAATCTCTTGTAAAATAGCCCTTTGCTAAACATCTTAACAAGAACTAACTCTCATTAGTGCTAAAACATTAAGCAAGCATTAATAAAGAACTCTACTTCAGTCAAGATGCTCCCCAAACAGTCAATCTCTTGAGCCAAGGCCAGCAAATCCTCTATTAAACAAGATCAGCATTTCATCAAACACTTGGTGGGCATAAGAGAAAGCTATAAACTTAGATATGTGTGATCAAGACAAATCTAGCATTAATAACATATTAATAGAGAGGAACCCATAAACTGAAGCACTCAACAAGCTCTAATCAAGTCTTAAATTTCCTTAATCTACTACATCTAGAAACTCTAAGAAAACTACTCACTAATACTCATGTTTAACACCAAATCACAAAGGAAAAGGATGTTAATCATGATTAGAAGAGAGAATAAAGAAAGATTAAAGGCAAATTCTCAAATATATTAAATAAAGCAAATGATTTGTCTTACAAACTTAAAGAAAATGCTTAGAACAGTAAATTGACAAGACTTGTCGAAAATCTAGAAAAGAAGCTATTTTTAGCCTAGAGAAAGAAGCTCTAAAGTAATGGCAAAAGTGTAAATAAAACAGGTTCGGACTGGGATTACATCGGTCATAGGTGATCGATGTAGATCCCATTGGTCTAGGCATTGATCGATGTGGTGACTGAAAATCATCCGGGGCGTTTGTGTCGATCACTTCTGATCGATGCTGATGATCGATGCTTCTGACCAAAAATCTGGTATCGGTCACCCCCTTGATCGATGTTCTCCGTGCTCTGACCGAAAACCTTTGCAGAGATTGTCTGCTTTGATCCCTTTTGCTCCCTTTGATCCAGCTAGCATCCTAAATCATCCCCAAAGCTCCTCCAAGCTCCTTTTAGCTCCAAAAGCACCTAAAAACATCCAAAATGCAAGAAAAATGCAAACTATATCTTAAATGCAACCTAAGTCTAAAAAGAGAAGAAAATGGGACAAAAACTAAGGGAAAACATGCAAAAGAGAACCAAAACATGTACTAAATGCAGTCCTAAATGGTGTAAATACAAGAGATATCAACACCCCCACACTTGCCTTTTGCTTGTCCTCAAGCAAATAAGAACAAATGGGAGAGTGAGGTTTGAAGGTGGGCATTCAGATTCATAAAGTGCAAAGGTAAAGAGATGGTATCAATGCTTAAGTGCCTAGTTGTAGGATGCAAACATAATCAGCTATACTTTAAAGAACCTAGCCATGCTCATCATGTTTCAAAATGATCTCAAATCTCAACTTAGGCAAATGCTCAAATCAACCAACTCTTTAACATTCAATTAAGAACAGAACCATGAATCATGCTTATGCAAATCAAGTAAAGACATTTGGTTGAAAGGGTAAGGTCATGAGATAAAAAAATGATCTCATTTTAGCAAAGGGTTAATAAACATAAGGGATCACTCAATGAAAAGAATTTCATCTTAGGCAGAATGCTAAAGGTAAAAGCACATGTATGCATGCAAATCAAAGCTCCCTTTTACCCAAAGATGAATCCTAAGCACTTCTAAACCCAAAAGTGAACCCCTAAGTCTACCCTTTCCTAAACTCTACCCTTTACCCTTCTTCATAGCTGGGGAAACTTCTTCTTTTTGCTTGTGTGGTTGCTTCTTTTTGGTTGGGACTTGCTCTTCTTTTTTGCATTGGCACCTTCATCACCTTTGGTGGATTGCTCCTGGTCTGATTTTTTTCTTCTTTGGACCTTTCTGAGCTTTGTTGCTGGCGCCTTCCTTCTTTGTACTTAGAGCTTTTTCTTCCCTTTACTTAACCATAATTCCAGACTGTTGCCCCCTTTCTACCATTTCAGATCTTTTCCCTTTCCTTAAAAACATATAAAACATGGAGTTCAAACCACTCACACTACCCCTTTAACCCCAAAACTCCTATCCTAGAACAAGCTCAAGATGCAAGCTGATATATACAAGAGAGATAATCATTGCCTGCCTTATTTCTAACACTCTTTGCCAAGACAAAATCGAAAATGTAATGCAAAGGCCTATCAGCTCTCACAATAGTGTTTAGGCTCAAAAGGAGGTTTTGGTTAAGGGTGATGATGTAACTGTCCCATAAGTATGTGGATCAGCTATTTGGATCAACAAGAGTGGTAGAAAGGAAAAAGATGATCTAAATATATATATGGTAGCCATGAATTCACTTTGTCAATGCATTAGACATGATAATTAAAAGTCCAAATTAAAGTTCAAGTTGATAGAGTTGATTTTCAGAGAAAAAGTGATTTCAGAATGAGATGAGAAGACCAAATCTAGCAATCTAAGCATGGTTCAGCTTTAACTTCTAGCAATCATATGATGCATCAAACAAATAGCCACTTAAACACTGAAATCATCTCTAAACACTAAGCACTTTACAAGGAAAACTCACCATAATGCCTTATGCAAATGCAATGCAACCTATATGTCAACACTAGACTCAATCCTAGAAGAATGAAATGCAACTACATGCTTTCTTTTTGGTTTGCAAAAATACAAAAAAATTTCAAATAATGCATGATATGCATGAGACTCAAAGTGAAAGAAAAGTAAAAACTAAGGAAACAAAACACAAAGTCAAACCCCAAAGCTCTCCCCCACACTTAAATTACACAGTCTCTTGTGTAATGAAAGAAATGAGAGAGAGAAGCACAAAATATAATACAAAACTTAAAAAAAATGCAATGGTATAAACAGTGGAGAGGATGTGGTACTTGGTTCAGTGGTAGGAGTGGTGGGATGATCCTGAGGTCTGAGGAGACTTGCTAGCTCTCCTCTCATAAACCTTTGTGGAATGCTCTGTTTCTTGTGGTGGTTGAACCCAACTTGACCATAGCTGCTCTGCTTGAGAAGAGTTCCCTTGTTGACCCCATTGCCATGCCTCCTGAACTTCAGAGGGAGTGGGAGTTGGTTCCCAAGCTGATGGTACATGGGTACTTGGCTCATAAGATGAAGCTCTTGGTTGTGCCCATCTCCCCCATTGATCACTTGGCTGTGCATGGAAAGAATGTCTTCCATGGGGGTTCCAAACAGCTTCCTCCTCTTCAGTTGGCTCAGCTTGTTGTAGATGCTCTTCTTGATCAGGTGTGTGCTCATGAGTGTGACTTTGGTGGGAAGTTCTTACTGATGTAGCCTTGTCTTTCCTAAACTTCCTCTTAACCATTTTCACCAATACCTTAATGGCTTTGTCTTGCCATTTACACAATTTCTGGAGGGCATTGATGTGCTCATGAGCAGCCTTCAAAGAGCCTCCTTGGCTGGGTGCTTCAAAGGGTTTGAAGTGGAACTGCCTTGAACTGTAGCTCAACACTTCTTCTTCTTCAAGCTCATCTTCTTCATAGGTTCTTCCTTGGCCTTCAGTGCCAGCAGCAGCATTCCATTGGTGATCTTCTTCATCTTCTTCTTTTCCATCTCTTCAGTGTTTCCTTCCTCATTGTCTTGTTTTCTCTCTCCAGGGATAAGGCCGCCTTTGTAGAGCTCCTCCTCACTCAGATTGATGTTGATGTTTCTCCTCTTGGTGAAAGAGGTGAGCCTTGGATTAGGGAGAAGGACTTTTGCTGGTGTAATCAAGCCCTTGATGAAGGTGTATTCATGCTTTCCACCAATGATTTTTTTAAGGAAGTGGCTTCTCTTGAGATAGGCTATATCAATCCATTGTGGCTCAAGAGCATCATCTTCATATCCCTCAAGGTCTACTCCACTAGCCAGAAGAACAGCTGTCACAATCCCCCCAATGTGGAGCTGTGGGCTTCTCCCATTTTTCACCTTGCTCAGAACCCAGCCTTGGTAGTAGAGGAGCTGCTCCATCAGCATAGACACATAGCA